ACTGTACATAATATTGGTTGTGTGGTCAATTTTATTTATTAATAACCATGTATCAATGTACTGAGACTTCTACGATATAGAACTCTTGATTTACCAACGTAGAGGTTACAATGATTATAGAAAGACTTTTGTAATTGTAAATAATTGATACACATGTGACAAATACGTACCTTTTATAAAATGGAAGGAAATAAGTAGAAGAACAGGGAGAGAAAGTATAGTTAGAACATTTGGTGATAAAGATAGTATTAATGGTTTGATAGAGGAGTAATTATGGTGTAATCATGGTCTATTTACAATGAAGCAAGGAGCCTCTATTTATAGGCTAAGCAAGTGATTAGCTCAAGATGAAGGATTAATATTAACCACATAATCATTATCCAGAAATCAAAGTTGTGATTTCTGAATTATCTTGATACTGATAATAATGACTTATTAATCATGAATAGTTAGGAGATGACTAATTCATTATATTTCAATACCCCCTGCGACTACCCTGCTGATTTATTCACAAAGTCACTGGCACAGAAGAAATTTGAAGAACAAGTCCACAAAATTGGAATGTGTCATCTTCGAGATATATTTTAAATTGAGGGAGAGTAATATAATGCATTGCACTCTTTTTCCCTTTGTCAGGATTTTTTCCCCACTGAGTTTTTTCTGACAAGGTTTTTAACGAGATAGTATATTATAATACTATGAAACTAATACCCTGAAATAATTAGAAGATGACCATTAAAGGGGGGTGTTGAAATATAATTGAATTAGTCACCTTTCAACTATTCATGATCAGGAACACATTATCCTCATTGTTAATATAAATAAGAAATCATAATTATGATTTCTAGATGGTAATTGTATGGCTCACAATTAGCCCCTCATGTGATTACATTTTCCTTCATTGTAAATATACTATTATCACACTCTCATGATTACATCTCGTTTAAATTGGTTTGAGTATTTTTCCTATGTAGTATGCTCTGAATGTTGTAAACTTGTAATTTGGTATGTTCTAGTCTTTTTTATCTTGTTTGGTGCAATTAAAATAAAATAATTAGCAAAGAATATGTTTAAGAAAACAACAATATTTAGCCGTAGTAGTAATTTTTAACATCAAAGCCCAACTTCTTATTTTTAAAATTTTCCCTTAAAGAAAATTTGCATACAAATACATCTACCGGCCATCTTTTTTTATAAAATCAGGATTGGAAATGTGTTAAGAATCAAACAAGGAATTGAATCAAGAATTGACTATTTGAACCAACCTAGAATACAACAACATATTACTAGTTCTTGTTTTTTACATAGTTAATATGTTTTGACTGTTTCAACTGTGTATTATTGAAACAAAAATGGGCTTAACAGTCTTTAATGCAGACAGATTTTGCATTAAAGATTATAATGGTTGGTTGTGTAAGTTTTATGCCCGGCTTTCATAGTTTAAAATTTATGCATTTATGTGTTCATTTTGTTTCTTTCACCTGAAATCGTTGTTTCAAGCTGCAATCTACCTACATTGTGTAAGTCAGCATCTTACCTGATCTTTAACGATAGGACATGAACAAGGTTGATGATCTTCAAAGCCTCAAATGGATGATAACCGGTACACAATCTCTCAAGGAGAGTGTGCTATCGAGGTGGAGGTTATTGTGGAGCAACTTAATCAAATGTTCTGTGAATAGAAGTCAAAGCTAAATTAGGGTCTTCCCCATCTCCATACTTGGAGGTTTGAACTTTGAACGAGTAATTATGCCAATTTCATATCATAAACTACTTGAACAATAAAGAGTTCTACTTTTTTAGATTGACGGTTTTAACTATAAGTTCTAAGTTTATATAATGAATATATGTTGCATAGTGAAGTCACTGTGTTATCAAAGTAGGTATATCGTGTATGTTTTCCATGATGAATGAAGACTCCAGTAGTCACTTGCATATATCCTTTGTCCCAAAAAAAGGGTAGGTATTGTTTCGTAAAAGTAGAAGTATTTAACTTCAGTATGGTACACTTTTTTAAGATTGTTAATCTATTTATATTTTTAAGTTCTTTGGTTGGTTTGAGCTATATTTGAAATATGTTTCTAGCAAAATTTCTGTCCATAAACTCTTAAAACTTGTAAAAAATTTAAGCAAATTTAGTAACTTTTGTAAATGCGTTACTGATTTTCGGCGCCGGTGCTTTCTCTTCAACTCCTCACTCCTTCTGCCTTTCAGTTTCCCATCATACGCTTGGATTCAGTGACTTCTCGTCACTGGATTACATCAACAGTAAATGTGTGCTTCAAATTTTCACCAGTCCTCTTGTTTGATAATGGAGTATTCTCTGATTTAATTTGGATCAAATTTTCAAATCCAATGAGGATTATAGGTTGGATTCCTGCAATGAATTCAACATCTTCTTTGGCAGAAAGAATGGAGGAAAACGGATAATAGGAGATAATATAATATATCTTCCTGTATAAGGTATTTAACTATTCTCATTATATAATTTATTTACTTTAAAACTCAACCATATACTCTTGTTTTTACTTTCTATATTTGTTAACAAATACTCCCTCTGTCCCATTTTATAAGATATCTTTACTATTAACTTGGTCAACACAAATCACTCTTAATCTCTTACTTTATAAATCAAAATTTTGTGAAATTTGAATTATTTTTTGCAGGTTTTGTAGCGGTTTTAATGTAGTTTCTGAATATGTAATTTTTTTTTTCTAAAAAAAATTTGAGTGCTGACAGGGATCTGTTTGCTTTATCGTCGGTCAAATATCGTAAACCGAAAAGTATCTTATAATTCGGGACTGAGGGAGTATATAGATTGAGCAAAATGCAGCAGTTGAGGTTTGTAAATGTGATTAAATAGGACATTAAACAGTTGAGGTTTCTAAAGATTCTGCCACAGCCCCGCCAAAAATATCCCGTCAATCCTCTGAAACTAGAATTCTGTCTAGTTTTTCCTCCACCCAGTTCGGAGTACCACGCCACTTTTCCCAAGTATATTGGTAGCCTTGGAAAGGAAAATTCTCCAACCCACAAGCCCAAACAGCTTCACGAAAGCCCCTCAGTAGTGAAGGAGGATGCGCCAATCTTCCTCGTTTATCAGAAGCAACCATCATGTCATTAAAATCCCCCATCATCAACCAAGGAATATGTGGCTCCGAACCTAGAGATCTCAGCCTATTCCACGATTCTCTCCTCCTTGACCGATCCGGGCACCCATAAAACCCTGTAAAACGCCAGACTGGCTCGCCTACCTCTAACTGAACACTTGCATCAATGAAGTAAAAAGAAGAACCTCGAATGTGAACGTGATACCCTTCTCGCCATAGTAAAGCCAGTCCACCACTATGACCCACGCAATCCACTACATAAGAGAACTGCATACCAACTTTCTTCATAATCACATCCATCCTATATCTGTTTGAAAAAGTCTCCATTCAAAAAATTAAAGCCGGCTTTTTTAAGTGAACCAAGTTCACCAAAGCTTGAACTGCCGCAGGATTGCCGAGCCCACGACAGTTCCAACTTAAGCAACTCATTGGTCTCGGCGGGCCTGGCTCGCAGGACCCGCCGCTTCCCCGTTTTTTGACACAAAGTGTTCCATATTAACAACGCCCGAGATACTGGCTCCGTACCCCGTCACCCCCGCCTTTCTCTTCTTCAAAAATCCACCCGAATCCAGTGAAATATCAACTGTCTCATCCTCCCTCGATCCTGCCTCCACTCCCTGACCGTCCCCTGCCCGTCTTCCCCAACCACTGCCAGGAAGAGCACCAGACAATGGGTTACCGGAGCCATCAACCAACCACCTGCTCCCCCTTCCCAACCCACTCCTGCGGCCACCAGCTCTCAGGCTGCTATCAAACTGCCTTTGTTGAATTCCATCTGCTCCAGCAAATCTCCTTGAACAAAATCTGTCAGTATGGTTCATCATTCCACAAATAAAGCAAAAATGCGGCAGCCGCTCAAACTTCAATTCCACCTCCACTGATTCCTCTCCTCGCTTCAGTATCAATCGGCTTCTCAATGGTTTTTCAACCGGCAAAAGAACCCTGATACGCATAAACTCCTTTCTTCCGCCCGTAAAATTGTTAGGGTCACACTCTACAAACGACCCCAGCCGATTTCCTATAAGCTCACCAGTCTTCTCTGTGAAATACCGCATAGGGAGTTTGTTGACCTGTACCCAGAAAGTTTCATGATCAAGTGTGATAGTAAAGGGATTATCATCTTCATCCAATCTTTTTAACACTAGCAGACTGTTCTCGTACGACCATGGTCCATCAGTCAAGACACGAAGGACATCAGTCTCCTGAAAGAACTGGAAGAGAATTCTCCTGTCACCAGCCTCCTGAATATGGACCCCTCTGCCAGGCCTCCAAGCATCTGCAATAACTTCTGTGAAAGCACTAATTTTGACAGATTTTTCCGTCAAAATACGACCCACAAGACAAAACTTTGAAAGAGATGAATCCTCCCGAATAGCCGAGTCATCCAATTGCACCTCAATCTGATCATCATCCTCTAAATTGAGACGAGAATAAAGGTCTTCCATGCCAGACGCCATGCTTTCAAGGACGATTGGAAAATAAAGCGAACAGGAGCGCACGATCAATCAATACAAGCCAAGGAACAAACGACCACGGCCCTAGAACCCTAGGGAAGGTAACCAATACTAATGGCGTCTTATTTACTCTCTTGAAGAAAGAAAGGATGATCACCGTATTCTGAGCGTCTCTCCAAATTAAAGGGTTGATGGGTTTTTGCTTGAGTCTGAATTGAGGTATATAAAAATGGGACCGAAAACCTTTGTCCAACTCTCCCCATTTCGCAAGCTTAGTGTAAACCCTTCACCAGAATTGTATTTATAAAATACAAATAGACCAAACATTTACCAGATCAACTAGACCATTTCATAAACCAAACCAAACCAAACAAAACCAAACCAAACCAAACCAAACCAGACAAGTATATCTGAATATGCCAACCAATTACTCTCTAGAGTTAAAGAGTATTATCCATACATCTTTGTTGCAAAAAACGCTTTCTACTGTTTTAGCCGCCTCGAAATGCATACGGTGGCGGTGGTGAAACACACGCTCTGTCACGATTCCGTCACTGCGAAGACAAGAGAGGTTTTGAAGACATAAGTCCCCCCTTTTCTCGATAACATGAGATAGGGCTATGGAGTTAAAAGAGGAGCAAGAAGAGGCATGTCGGATGAAAGGGAGTTGGTGTGGATTTTTTTGATTTTTTGTGTTTTTGGTGAGTATCTTGAAGATCATGTTGGCATCATCCAGAAATTCGTATCGTCAATGTTCAAAATCCATGGTATACATCTCCAAAATTTGCAGGTAAGTTTCTCATTTCCCCCCAAAATCACTGCTTTTTCGGCATTCTAGTACCCAGGGTTTCGCTTAGTATAGAGCCCGCCCTGTTATATTTCTACTTCTATGCTTAATTTCAGTTTATAATACTTGATCTTTTGATGATTTTAATTATGTAGGAGCTCTCTCCTCTGCTCTACCATTTTGGCTGAGGGCAATCTAACTTTATTGTCATCAGAAAGAAAAACATTATTTGCCAGTTCAATTAGTCCTGAATCTAACTCATTGTTATTTCAAAGATCGTTTGCTTCTCATCAGAAGCTAAGGTCGGATGCTATACGAAGTGATGTTTCAATTGAGCTGAAGGCTGATAGAGATGTGGTGAGATTTTCAGTTGGTCAAGAGATGCAGGATGGTTCACTAAGAAAAGCTAAGAAAGTGGCCAGGAAGATTAAAATGTCTAAAAGGGCTAAAGTGAATGAACTTAGGTTTTATAGGTTGAAGGCAAAGAAGAAAATGACATCACCAAATCCTGAAGTTAGAATCAGATACAAGCTTGATAAGGTCAGTGGCAGTTGATCTTATAGACATTCCAATAAACGGAACAAATGGCTTGTTTTGCAAGCTGCATTTTCTTTTTGAAATTGTCTCATGTTTGGGAACATTTTGCTAATCTGAGAACAATATTTTTTTCCATAAGTTTCAGCTGTTTGTGGATCATGCCTTTTTTTTTTTCAAATTAAGCAATTATTGTCACATTCAAACAAATATAATAATTTTCAAACAACTTTTGAGCAAAGCTAATCCAAACAAAAAGTGATTTGAATTAGAGTCAACTATAACATACAACCCAATATTTTTTTCCCAGCCATCCCAAGGCCCATTGTTATTATGGTGACTATAATGCCTTTTGATTTTGTTTCTGTGGCATCACTGACTATTTGTGAATCATATGTTAGGCTAAACGGAAGGAGGTTTGGTTGATCGAGAAGCTGAGAAATTTTGAGGTTCCCAAAGCTCCAATTGAACCTCAGGATCCTGAAATTTTGACTGAGGAAGACCGCTTTTACCTGAAACGCACTGGTGAGAAAAAGAAAAATTATGTACCTGTTGGAAGAAGGGGAGTGTTTGGGGGTGTAGTTTTAAATATGCATCTTCACTGGAAAAATCATGAGACAGTAAAAGTTGTATGCAAGCCTTGCAAGCCAGGGCAAGTTCATGAATACGCTGTTGAACTGGCACGTTTGAGCGGAGGCATTGTTATTGACATTAAACCTGATAATACAATAATATTTTATCGAGGAAAGAATTATGTCCGACCAGATGTTTTGTCCCCTCCAGACACCCTATCCAAAGCAAAGGTAATGCTGGGTTCTCATTTCATTTTCCAAAAAGTTAAACTAATTTTAGAATCTTTTCTAACAATTTAGTTGACTTAACTCCAAATGTCATCGTGTACAGGCATTGGAAAAGTACAAGCTGGGGCAATCACTAGATCACACAAGTCAATTTATTGAGAAATTAGAAAAAGAACTGGAAGACTACCATGAATACCTTGCTCAGAAGAAGGAAAGATATGCTTTGATGAATTTGAATGTGAATGTCTGACCCCTAAAGGTATCGTCTTATTATTAGCATGCTAAAGCTTCACATTCCATTGCCAACCAAAGGTAGCTATCGCGACCAGTGCTCTTTCGAAATAAGCATGTGAACCAAAGCTCCAATGATCAAGTTGATGGTTGTCAATCTTATCATTTAGATTTTGTTACCAAACACCAACTTACATCACTGCCCCAGCTGAATCAGCTAATAATGAAAAAAGTCGCGCAAGAGGTAGTTATTTGGCTTATACGGCTAAAATGAAAGAGTGACATTTCAACGTTCTGTTTGTATATTGTTTTCTTGAATTTAATAAAGAAATATATATTCAATAATTTTAATGTAAGAAAATTGAGCCATTTTAGCCCCAACTTTCAGAAAGTCAGTCACTCTAAGCTATTTAAGCCTTATAAAATGGGCTCTCACCTGACTAATGAACTGTAAAGATGTTCAAATTTTTGTTTAGCTTTTTTAAGGGATTCAGAACACTTTCATAAATTGATTTCTGAGGATCAACAATGAAAGATGATTATAAAATAAAGTGTAGACATCCGCATCTTTTAAAAGAATCAATTACAATGATTTTAAAATTACCCCTGAATGCCAAATTATTTGCAGGTTTTGACATAGAGGTGTGGGTTATTCATTGAAATTACTAACTGATTGGTTCAGCTTGGTGGATCATTATTCAAAGCATGAATAATGGTACGCGGTGGTATTTTACAATTTTCGAATTGAAAGGTTTGGAAGAGAGACAGCCTTGAGAACCAATGCAGGCTTCATTTTCACCATGGGTTGCTTTTTAAGGTTTGGAGAAGCGATGTCTTGCCGCTTGAGCCTTCTCAATGTTGTTTCCCTCGGCGCTTTTGGAGTTGACCAGATAGTTTGGAAATAAATTGACAGCAGGCAAAGTATGCGGGTGGTGGGAAAATGTAGGTTCATCCAGGATATGTTTAGAGAAGGGAAAATGATGAAGGAAAATACTTCGTAGTTTTCTTTTTAATGTTTGGTTGTACTTGGGAAAAGGCAATGGAAAATCTCTTACTTACATTTAGTTTTTGTTTTGCCAAAATTTCTTTTCTACCAAATTTCTCTTCTGTTTTCTCCAAAATTTCTCAGAAAACTATGGAAATGCTATGAAAATGAAATAAATGCCAAGAAAACTTATTTTCATATCTTATATTTGGATTTACTTTCAAATAGTCATGGACTGGGCCCGGTCAGATTCTGGTTCGGACTTGGGCCCGGCTGGGCCTGGATGTGTAGGAGTGTAGCCCGGAACCGGCCCGGGTGTTGACCGGTACCGGTTCGGGCCACCTGCCCGGGTACCGGGCTGGTTCGGTCCGGGTCATTTTTTCCCTAATTAATTTTAGAAGTGCTGCATATAAAAAAAACTTCAAATGCATTTATTTGAAATATGAACTACAATTGAGAATTGAGAAAAAAAAATACAATATGAAATACATTTTCTAATAAATAATAATATACGTAGTAATATATAATAATAATAATCAATAGGAATTTTCGCTACAGTTGGTTGTTGTTTCCTCCTTGCCTTTGCCTTTGTCACATGATATAATATGTCTTGTGGGCGTCCCACATCCCGGACTTAATAGTATTCATGTGAAATCTCCAAGCAACAAACTTTCTTGCACCACTTGCAAGTTGTGTACCTTCCATTTATCAAAATTATTTTTCATAAGGCCATATTGATTTTCCATCTTAAAATGGTAGATATAATAATTGTATAGATACTAAAATAGATGTATAAGAGATAAAGAGAATAAGAGAAGATGAAGATGGAGAAGTGGTGTAAGAAAATGTTAGAAAATAGGAGTATTTATAGTTTTTTTTGTACCCCCACCCACCTCCTCTCACCCAACGGCTATATAGCCGTTTGGGTTAAATGTTTTTTTTTTAAATAGGGTTACTCAGTTAGATCGGGCCTAAGTATATTTTGTTTTCTTGTTTCCTAAATAATTATAAATAATTATAATATTTATAATTAATATATTATATACTTAGGGAATAGATCTGATGAGAAGCTTCTTTAAGCTGAAAAGTGAGAAGTAATTGGAGCCGACCGATTAAATCAGATCTTACGGTTCTGCGTTCCTGATCTTATTTTCTCTCCTATCGGAATAACTGATAATATTTTCTCTCTCCTCATATATATCTGATTTTCTCATCGGCTTCTCTCGTTATCTCTGCTCACTCAACATTCTTCTCTCTTATCAACTACAAAAGAAGAAGATCGTTGGCCAATTGCTGTAATTTCTCCTTTCGTATTTCTTCGTTGGTCAAAGTTGGAGGAGCGCATCTGAGCGGGTCTGGAATTCGGTTGTGTTTCTGCACCCTCTTGTCTCGATGAAGTGTTTCGACGACGATTTTCTGAAATCCAAAAGGTTGCAGAAAAGGTTGCTTCCACCTTAGAGTTACCGTTCACCCTTTCCATGTCCTTCGGTAATGGGGGGGGGGGGGGTGTTTGGAAACCCAAGGTACCTACTGCAAGGATTCCACATGTGCTCGTGTTTTCATTGGATGAGTTCTTCATATCGTCTATTGTTGGATGAGTTCTTCATATCGTCTATTGCAAGGATTCCAACAGTAAAAATACAGAAGAGGCCAGCGTTTTGCCAAGTTCAAGTTTTTGGGGGCCAAAAATCATTGTTAGCACTTAACGGGAAGGGTTTTACAAAGTTCTAACATATCGTCTATTGCAAGGATTCTAACAGTAAAAATACAGAAGAGGCCAGCAATTTGCCAAGTTCAAGTTTTTGGGGGCCAAAAGATCATTGTTAGCACTTAACGGGAAGGGTTTTACAAAGTTCTAACATATCGATTATCTAAACTGTCCAAATGAAGGTGGAGTTGTGTCTAAGGTGTCAATGCTAAGCTTTTGGGATGTCACTGTCTCTTATAAAACGCCCTTCTAATATAGCATCCATTGATGCATATGTTTGAAGTTTTTGTTTTGTTTCTCAATACTTTAGATCTTGAGCAAAGTGTATCTCGTATATATTACGATTTGAGCCTTGGTTTTCGTTTTTCTTCTATCACTATAATTATATTTTCTATTCTACAAGTCATGTAAATAATCAACTTAACTTTTAATAACTTCTTCATAAATCTCGATAAATCCCCTGTGTTTAAGCTTTAGTTTTTCATTTGACAAAAAGCTAAATCTTTAACTAAAATCAAGAATTTAGTTTTTACTACAGAGTTATTTTAGTCAGTGAGACTAATAGTTGCAAACAATGAACTTTTATAAACAATGTCATAACTTTTAATGATGTAGTCATGTAGCTATTCCTCTTTTGACCTATTTGCTTAACCACAAGAGCATGGTGTGAAATCACCGAATATGTGAGCTTTAGGCCCACATAAGCTATCAAAACGAATGTATTGGTGGTTGCTTTTATCACCCTTTTTGTTATAGTAACAAATAAATTTTTACTTTCCAATTTATTACATGTATTCATCATTGCTGAAAATCAATTATAACAAGCATTTTTGTTTGAAATTGGAAGATATTACTCTGTTTAACAAGCATTATTGTTTGAAGTAAGAAGATATTCGTGAGTCAAATATCACAACCTCTTAACGTTAGAACATCTATTTAAGATTTCCCAACTCATACAGAAAGAAGCTTAACTTCTATTCTAAAATCGATAACTTTTTAAAACAAATCTCTACTTTACACATGAACAATGACTATTATAGTAGGTGTAAAGTATAAGAGAAATCTTCATCACAAGTATCAATACATTTTAATGAAAACGAAAAGTGAATCATAACTCACTTAAATTTTAAAATTTTATAACTCAAATACCACACTTAAATTGCAAATTCCATCAAATTCCAAATGAAGCTTTACTTATTGGGGAATCTTGGAGGATGTGTACTAGTTACTTTGAGGAGAAAACCCCCATACATAGTACGGAGTAATATAGTATCTGTACTTAGAGTATTTCAAAGAAGACATCCAATATGTTAATAATCATTTTACATCATCATAACTAAACATAGAAGTCTAAGAAAATAGGAAGTCAGCAACACAAGAACATTAGCTAATGTATTCGTACAGCTAGATGCCTAGATTGTAAATCTACTCAAATCAAAGAAGTCTATTGATTTTATTTACCAATGAATCATTTTAACAGTCACTTGGTAGAACTCCAAACAAAGCATTCAATTAAAGCTCTAAGGCCTATTTTAAACTCCCATTCTTATAAAATGTGAAACTCTTGTGCTCAACATGATAGCCTCTTGCAGACATATCTTCAAACACCTTAAATGCTCCAAGTACATACTTTGAAAGGAGAGAGGATAAACTTCGGTACTAGAGATTCTGATAAAATTCAAACTTGAATGGTGCTCACTCCTCACTGTGTTGTCCAAATTTTATTGTTCTCAAGAAAGTGGAGAAAGGAAAAGCTAGCATCAACGAAAGGTTAGGTCACCTTTTTGGGAGATCCACTTGATCTTGGTGGTAATCCATTTTGATTCTGTACGCAATATTTATTTTGGTTTGATGCAATCGAAACTCATATTTATTATATACTCCTAATATTCACCTAAAATCAAACATGGCAATTCAGCTAGAGGTAGACGAAGAGGATCGGAGAGAGAAGACAACACACCGGGTCGTTAATCCTTCTTCCAGTTCTAAATAGGTATGGAGTTCCAAAATATTACAAAGCTTGCCATTAATGAGGCGCTTGAATCTGAACAAATCTGACGGTACACAAAATGTAATGATGCACTTGAATCTGAACAAATCCGACGGCACACACAAGTTCTCACTTCAGCCCAAGACATGCTTCTCATGAGATCTTCTCTCTCTACACACACAGGAGGATTCAGGTCCAGCCAGGCCGGACCACTCCCCTGTCCGGCCACCTCAATTTCAGGTGGTTCCCGGTGGTATTTTTTACCCAAATTTTTGTGTATGTTCCTCATCAAGTCTAGTTTATCCATACCAAATTTCAGCAACAAATTCAATCAGGAAGGTCGTCAAATGATTTTTGCAAGTTCACTGGTCCGGAATATACCCCGATTGAATTTTTTACTGAAATTTGGTATGGATGAACTAGATGAGGAACGCACACAAAAAATTTGGGTAAAAAATACCACCGGGAATCACCTCAAATTGAGGTGGCCGGACCAGGGTCCTGTTCAGAAATTCCGGACAGGAAGAGCTCTCATATATATATATATATATATAGAATAGAGATCAAATACAAAGCCTTCTTAATTTACAAAGTACAAACTCATCTTGACCGTCCGATGAGTTGATCCAAAGGACATAAAGGCAAGGTGGCATTTTTGTAATAAAACCCAACTTTTTAGGGTGCAACTCGTTGCACCTTAATGTGCAACTGTTATTTTTATGACTTTATAATGTGCAATACTTTGAACCTCAATATGCAATGCAAATAACGTCAAGGTGCATCGTACAAATATTTGCACAATAAGCACACTTTGTACTTGATCTTTCCCCTATATATATATATATATATATATATATATATATATATATATATATATATATATATATATATAGGGAAAAGACCACGTGAGAAGTGTCCATTAAAATGAAAAGTGAGAAGTAATCTTAGCCCTTGGATTTGCATATGATCTTACAACGCAGTAAACTTATAGACTAAATATAGGAACTTATAACCAATAAATCATAACTTATAAAGCTCTCCATAATAATTACGAAAATGCCACCGCGTTAAAAATTTTTCCAGGTTTCTGTAATTATTTTTTTGCGGTGGCATTTTTGTAATTATTTTCGAGAGGTCTATAAGTAATGATTTATTGGTTAAAAGTTCCTATATTTAGTCTATAAGTCTATAAGTCTATGAGCACTTCTCACCTGATCCGCTTCCTATATATATATATATATATATATATATATATATATATATCAATGTGACGATGTACTATGATTTTTATAATATTTATTTCTAAAAAAATTACCAATCTCCAACTTTCACATTTCTTAGTGCCCGTTTGGTAGCTCAGTTTTTCAGCTTATGAAGCTTATCAGTAAATTTTTTCATCAAACACATAATTTTTTATTTCACGCGCTGAAAAGGTAAGGTTGGAGTTACTTTTCTGACTGTATTGGTTGAAGTTACTGTAGAGAACCATTTTAGTTATTTTTGCATGTAGATTTTTGTTTATTTTATTACTAAAATATATTTTATATATAGTTTTTTGATAAAATTCAGTCAATTCAGTCACTTCAGCCAGAATTTCAAAAAATTCAGCAAAAACAGCCAATTCAGCCGATTTTAATATTACCAAACGGGCTTTTAATCAACTCAACTTCATGAACTATAAAAGGAACAACATGAAATGAGATCATAAAAGATGAAACACTACATGCACTATTTCAAATTAAAGGCAACCCCAGCCCTACATAAAAAAAGAGAAAATATCAAATAAATATATGATCACAAGTAGTCAAATGTAATATGTTACACACAGATGGACGATGTAGAGATTGGATACAATGTGATGTTGTAGAGACAACCCCCCACCACATGAGACCGACCTGGAAGAAGAAGAGCTACTTGCCTCCTGTCCTTGTTCTTCTTTGAGCATGATGTGGAGTTGGTGTGCCCTCTTGATGAAAGGGCTGAGTGGATGCATCAGCTAAAGTGGGTAACCTGGTAACACTTCCTTTCCCTCCTTTCCTTGCATTTGGTCCTATCTCCTCTATCATGTACTTCCATCCATCTATTGGTCTCCTTCTACTGAATATGTGTGTCTTTAGAAAGCTCCCTATCTGTAATATTACAATAAATAAAAATAAAGTTGACTAGCATTCTGTATCTAAAAAATGTCTATCAGCAAAATCAGACAAGCAAGCCTCAACAAACCTGGAACTTGTTGAATGCAATTCGACGCTCAAACTCTTGAAGCAAAAGATCTTCTTCTCTTTGTGACATCTCCCAGATGTTCCCATCTACACTCTTTGATGTTGTTTCCCATCCATCCGGCTTGTTTTTTATATCAGAACTTGAAACTTGTAAATTGTTCTTGAAGTCATCATTTGCAGAGTCAAAAATCCTGCACTTGTTTGAACAACCAATTCCACATTCCAATCCGCAAAAGAAGTGTAGAAGAAATCAACATTGCAAAAAGAATTGATATACGTACTCGGAGGCGCTATCCAGCAACTTTTCGATATCATCAGCATTGCCGCCATCTCCAAGCTTCGCTTCCTCCATCTTCTCAATCTCCTTCACCCACAATCCCGCATGTATTCTCTGTTTCTTGACCCTATAATCCTTCCTCATATTCTCTAAACTATAAATAGACCTCTCATTTTCATTTTTCTTGGCAATATCATCACCGTCTGAGTTTTTTTTCGGACTTTTCCCCTTTCTTTGATCCCAATTGTCGTTCATCTCCTCCACGAATGCCCTGGTTTCGCCGTCAACTTCCGACGGAAGAGGAGTATGAGAAGAGTTCGAGGTGTCATCCGGAAGAGAGAAGTTAACGTCAGTCTCCCAAGGAGCTCGATTCTTCCCCGATAGATCCTCCGGCAGCCATGCGGTTTCCCACGCGACGTTCCACTCGTCGTCACCGGTCTTTCTGGAGAGACGGCGGACAGCCGCACGAGTAGAGGCAGCCGGGTTTAGCAGAGGTTTTCTGAAAATAGCGAAACAAAGTCTTTGAATTGGGTTCATTGCTTTGAATGAATACTTCAGTCGACCGTCCAGAATATGAAAATGTGAAGCCTGACGGCGGTGACACGGTTGTGGGTCGAATCAGAGCGGGAAGCCCATGTGGCAGGCTTGAGCCGAGTTGGAACGTAATTTGAATTATTATTTTAACTAGCAGTGTACGCACTTTGTGCGAATTGTGCCCAATGCATAGAGAATCAATCCTCGAATCATAACAACCATAATGATACTGAATACTCTGTAAAATGTGAGGTGAGTGGCGACAATTGTTTCGTAATGCCTGCAAAAACAACCGATTTTGAAATTAGATACAATGACAATCTCCAACTATATTTATGAAGTTTTGTTATAAATGGATATTTTCACGAGTCCTTCAGTAATGATAAGTATGCATTAGAAGTGACCAATGGTAGGAGTTTTAGTGATCATTTTATAATTATAGTTGACTTGTTGTGTGACACAATAAGGAAACTTAATGTGTTTTTAGTTGAGGTTTGAAATAATCTTAATGTTTTTATGGTGCTTTCTAAGTGAGTGTAAATGCAGAAGTTATTTAGTATATGAAGGGACTTGAGAGTCAATAATTAAGCCCAATGTTATTACTCTTTAATTGTATGTGATTTTTTAAAATTGTTTGCAGGTTTTTAGAATAAATACACTTTTTAATTTGTAATTAATTAACCTAATAAGAAAGGACAATATTAATTAGCTTAATTGTTAATACTATGTCTGCATATTGTCTTTGTAGTGTTTTTTTAAAATCGATTCAAATCTGTTCAAGAGTCAAACTAAGTACCTACATTTAGAATCTTGCAACTCAACAATTAAAATGCAAACAACATTTTGAAATAGTTTTTTCCATCTTTATAATGCCTATGTACCTTTTTAACCCACGTAATTTTGTATGGCATTCTAATAAAGGCCATGTAGGTGCAAACGCACATTTTTTCAAAAGAATTAAATTTAGTACAAGGGTTAAATATGTATGACTAAAGTATAACATAAAGTCCCTCTTTTGTGGTTAATTGAGCACCAATTTTCAAGATGATTCCCAGTATTAATAATGTGGTTTGAGCAGGGCATGTTTGATATTTTTCTCCTCTAGAACTATACTCTTCTAAGTCCTTTATTTGTATAGACCACATGAAAATTGCTGATTACATGATAGAAAATGTAAAAGGAAATTAAAACTAATGTTTGGAAAACAGTATAAGCCTTAGACGTTAGGCAACATGATTGGTCCGTGGACTTGAACATTGTAAATCAATCTCCTGAAATTGAAACTACGTTGTGAACTTATGATATTTTTTAATCATTTGAGACCGCTACATTTTTTGTGTTCTTATGTGAATGATATTCCGCCTATGAATTAATCTTAAGTGTGAAATCCCTACTAAGCACTTCCGAAGGCATTCTAGAATAGAATTTGTGTTCATATAAAAGAAGCATTACAGAATAAGTATAACAATTCTAAAGATCGTTGCAGATAATGTTATGAACCCCCGTTGAGGCTTTTTACCGAACACTTTGTAGGCGTGAATCATGTTTTTTTGTTCATAAATACGTAGCAATTAGAAGCCCATCTTTTCAAATCCTCAAATTGTTCATTAGCAGCACATCCAAATAAGGCTGAATAGCAGTGAACCTACGCCATTTCCCCAAGGTAGTTTCTGAAATCATCATTGTAGTTGTAAAGGAATTTTAAAATTCAGTGCAAACAAGGGCAGATCATGCGCATCTTTTCTCTGTTGTTAAAGTTGTAAATGAATGTACAAGGCAACAAAGGGTATAAAATGGGGATTTATGCATTAGAAGAAGAAGATAAATTTAGAACTTGACATGATAAGAATACCTTTTCACTCTAGCGTGCAGACAATGATGGAAAGAGGGTTGAAACAGGTCCAATTCTTTCTCTTGAAATAAAATGTAACAATCTTCATGTGCGGACAAGGCGGTTTGATACTGGTTTGATGACCACTGAGGTATATTGAAAAGGTGTATGCGAGCGAAGAGGCCGGTGAAGAACGATGTTAATTGAAATGTTTGCCTATTGATAAACTGCTAAAGTTTAACGGAAAATGGACTATCTAATTAAGTTTGGCCGTTCATCCTATAAGTAGAGCTATGTTTAAAAAACCGACCCGACCCGGCCGGGTTGACCCGGAACCCGGTGACCCGGACAAAAATCCGGTTCGGTTTCTTCAAAACCCGAAAATGGTCAAAAACCGGAAAAACCCGGCTGACCCGAAAAAAACCGATCCGGACCCGACCCAAGAAACCCGAAAAACCCGGGAAAACCCGGTTTTCGGTCTTTTCCAAAAAAAAAGTAATTTCTTTTTTTAATTTTAATGCATTTTTTAAACCAATAAAATTACAATTTCAATTCCCTAAAAAGAAAAACTATGTAATATATTTATATATTTATTTAAGAATGAAAATCATGCCAAATTATAATATAAATGTACAATACAAATAAAAATATATAATGAGAGTGTATATAATTATATGTTTATTATTATTATATAGACGTATAATCGTTGACCGGTTTTCCGGTTTTGACCGGGTTGACCCTCCGGGTCCGGGTTGACCCGTGACCCAGTCACATGACCGGGTCGCTCACCGGTCCGGTTTTTACAACATAGAAGTAGAGATGTTAAAGTGTAACGGTAAAAGGACTATCTAACTTAGTTTGGCGTTTATTATATAAGCAGCAAAAGACATTCTGTTGTTGAACTTGTAAAGTTGAGCAAGGAATAAATCCTCAACATGAAGGACATCTCAAATGAAACTTTAGTGTCCAATATGAAATACATATGAAATCATAGTGTCTAATTTGATCCATTTGAAACTTTAGTGTCAAATATGAGATTCTGATAAAACCATAATGTCCAATTTGAGCCTTATTCGTATAACGATGATGTTACACGAACAAATTTTAGATGCCTAAAAGGGTATTAACCCTCATTCAGGCTTTTAAGTTTTTAGATTAACCCTCATTCACGCTTTTAAGTTTTAGATTTAGATACACATGTATATAAGTGGTTTTCCCCCTTCGAACCCTAGCTTCAGCTGCGTATCTTTACACAATCATCGCAGAATTGAGGACCTCGCCTCCTGTGGCCTAAGATGGTGCACGTTTCCTACTATCAGAACTGTAAGCCTTCTAATAATTTGTTGGAAAAATGTGTTAAAATTGCATTAAATGGTCATTTTGGGGCAATTTTTTGAGTGGGGTCCACTTCCGATTTGGGTCGGGTCAAAGTGGTTTCGGATTGTCCTTGCTTAGGACTACAATTCGATATATAGTATGCTCAAAACAGATAACGGGTGAATGAGATATTGATTCTTGAAGTTCACTCGTTGAAATGGAGAAAAATACGAAAAAGTGGGTTTCTAGTGTGGCTTTTTCCCACACCGAAAATCACAACGGAATTCGAGCCCTTTATAAAGGGAAACCCCCTCTAAGGAGTTAAGCTTCCTAAAGGGAAAGACTCTCTCACGCGCGCAGGGGGGTGCGAATCAAATTCTTCCGGTACGTTTCTGTTTTATTTATGCTCCATGCAGAGCTGGAACGTTGCAGCATAAATGCCCAACATCTTTGTACCTAAATGCAGCGGGTTTGGACAGCTTGCATGGAGAATCAATGCCAGCATGCTGCCTTGAAGTCCCAACGTTCATATGAACGTTTTGGACTGTTTTGGGCTGGAATCAATGCCCAACGTTCACAGCATTGATTCCACCGTTCATATGCCTTAAACAGGCCATTGACACATGCAAATCCACCCCTATGAAAGGCCGGTAGCTGCTTTGCAAAAGGACACAAACACAAAAAAACGTACTGCACTTCTTTCTAGCTCAAAAACAGTTCAGCCTTCTCCGGAAAAATTCCTTTTGTGTTCTAGGCTTTGTTCTCGTTCGTTGGAATCTAGTTTGAGTGCTAAACTATCGTTCAAAGTCATCGTATCCTGGGAAACGATCGTTGCAACGCTCCTAGCACCCCGGGAGGCAACAAATACGTTTTAAGGAAATCGTGCGTAGCACGAGCTTTGACTTTTCTGCTTCATCTATTTTCTGTTTTCGTTTTGTCATTTTACTTAATTAATTTTTACTCCCTACATCCCACTAACAATGGGACAAGAGGGAGTGACACGCAAACTAATAAAAAATGAGTTATGTGGTTGATATTGAATTGATAAAGTAAGAATAATTTAAAGCCATACAAATTTTGCCTAATTTGGTATGGGATAATCTTAGTGGGACGGACCGAAAAGGTAAAATGAGACAATCTTAGCTGGACGGAGGTAGTATTAATTAATTTTCTTAGTTTTTCGAAACACACCCAACATAATTCCCTTCTACTTTCATCGTGATCTTTATGTGTTAACTATTATTGCATTCAAGTTTGCGGTAAATGTATGGTTGCGGCGAGAGGCTTAAATCTTGTGATCGTCTGATATTGTAGCCTAATCTAGGGTAAAACCATGATCTTTGGGGATATTGTAGCAGCTTCACTCCATTTATTTTTGCCTTGTTTTTTGGGATATCTGGGCAGTGATATGTCGTGCGTCACATCTATTATGATCATAACATGTAGGCTCAAAGTTGTGTGCTTCAAAGTTGTGCACACACTTAAGCAGACTGTCCATTTTGTCTATGTTCCTGGTAAATAATTAAATTTCTATAGAAAATACAGCATGCGGTAAATGTTGATCTTTCTGATATATCGTGTGTACCATCAAATTTAGCCTGCGGGAGACTCTGTTTATGCTTCTTATGTATTTTTCATAGAGGCGGCTGTGATTGATGATGCTTGTGCTAATGTCAATTGTTGGATCTTGGAAATCAAAGTTGTTGTCTTAAGTTTGAGTTTAGTTCAGAAAGTTCTAAGAAAAACTATTATTATCTGTTTACTTGGTCTTTAACATATGCTTGGAAGTAGGTATAGAACATAAGTCATAACTGCACATCCTTAGTTCGGATGGATGTTTTAATTGCAATTTCGTTTCTGTTCTACCAAATAGCTCCCAGATTTTCCTGAATAAATTATTCCCAAGAAGTTAATAAGTTCCAACTAGCCAACTATATGTCTCTGTTATATGGTAAACTCACTAAATGTGTGCTTATGTTATCAAATGTAGATGGAGAGACATTCAAAAAGCCACGTCGGCCATATGAGAAAGAGCTTTGGATTCTGAGTTGAAGCTTGTGGGTGAGTATGGTCTCAGATGCAAGCGGGAGCTGTGGAGAGTCCAGTATGCTTTGAGCCGTATCAGGAAGAATGCACGAAAGCTTCTTACCCTTGATGAGAAGAACCCGAAGCGTATATTTCGGGGAGATGCACTTCTGAAGAGGATGAATCAGTATGGGTTGCTGGATGAGAGCCAAAACAAGCTTGATTATGTGCTTGCCCTCACTGTTAAGAACTTCCTTGAGCGTCGTCTACAGACATTGGTGTTCAAGGCAGGCATGGCCAAGTATATCCATCATGCCATAGTTCTCATTAGGCAAAAGTACATCCGGTAAAATTTAATATCTATGAAGAAAGTTATGTTGTGCATTATACCATAATTATTAGTTATTTGCGCTTTCCTAAATTTTTGGTCTTCTTTTTGTGATCATACAAGTGTTGTTCATCTTTTTAAAAGTACGAGGACCTAATTGAATTTTTTCATGAAAGTACGAGGACCAAATTGACAGTTTTCCCGTATTTATTAATTTTATGTTTCAAATATTTAATTTTTATCTTGTGCCATATATTGTTGCATATGATTATTTCTCGTGCATCGCACGAGTAGAATACTAGTTATTCTTATAAATTACTACGGACCATATTACCTATACTACTAACACTAATAGTTTTTATTTTACTTTTTGTGGCCCCTTTGGCATGTGAGGCCCAAGGGAGAGGCCCAAGGAAGTTGCCTGGCCCAACTACCCATATATCTGTCACTGCCAGCCGTCCAAATTATGATTGAGAATGTGAAACTTGACGGCGGCGATACGGTTGTGAGCCGAACCGGAACGGGAAGCCCATGTGGAAGGCCTGGGCCGAATTGGAACGTAATTTTGTATTATTATTTTTATATGGGCCTGTTCTAAAGCCATAGGCGACGTTCTAAGCCCATCATTATTTTGCCCTAAAAATTACATTACACAGCACACTCAGAGTGTATATGTTATATATTACTAATTTTTGCACATGCGATGCGCGATCAGATAAATGCCCAATGTTATATACATGAAATTCACTTTTGTAGGACTCTATCAAATTTGATATATGGTAGAAAAATTCAAGAGTGTTTGGTAAGATTAAAAAGCATAACTTGTGCAAAGCCGCTTACATCAAGAGAGTGTTCGATAGTTTTCTTTTTGAACAAAATATTTCTAAGAAAATGTAAAACCATCCTATTTTTGAACGATCCTATCTTATTTTTAAGGAACACAAAACACTGCTTTTAATATTTTTTTGTCAGAATAAAGTCCTATTACAGATAAAATTTAAAACTACATTCCAAGCGATCAATACTATGAGTCACTTCAAAATTAAAAAAAGAAAGATAAGTTGGCCTGATTTCGATATGGCTTGCATTTCTCATATTAACATGTTTCAAATAAATAATGTACTTGCTATTCAGAACAGAGGCAAACGACTATTTTAATAACCTTTATAAAAAATTAAACAAGAATGGAAATGGAGTATTGATTATAGCAATAGGATATATCGTTATAGGATCTACAATATCATGCATTTTTTGAATACATGTTGAAAAAATACATCCATTCCGATGTATCCAACTTTTTTTGAAAGAATACATTAAAAGAGATAAATTGTAATTCGTAAACACTGACTACTTCTGGTAAGTAAGAAACTTTCCAGTCCAATTAGCAGGATTGCTGAAGAAAAAAGACAACGACTAATTAGTTATTAGCAAGAGTGCGTTTATTTCGGGTAGATTTATTATTGATAACATTATGCTTGCCTTTGAGACTCAACATTTCCTAAAAAGGAAGCGGCAGGGGCATACAAGTTATGTAGCTCTGAAACTAGATATGAGTAAGGCCTATGACAGGGTGGAGTGGCCTT